TGTACGCATTCCGACCAGGACGAGGAAGCGAGCGGCGTTTTCAAGGCCACCCGAGCCCCGTTACGAAAGGAAATGCCGCTCCATCTCCTCCTCCTCCCCACCCACACCCCCTGCCCCGTGCCCCACAGCTCTGCTCTGAACCCATCGGAAATTTGTCATCGTCGTTCGTGAGATTCCAGCGGGCGCGCACCGGGCTTGTGTTAGCGGGCAGGCACCGGGCGCACGTGGCACGGGCCAGCGAGCACGGACGGGTTTTGTGCCATCGACAGGGAACTGTTGAAGCCAACGCTTAAAGTAATAATGACGATGACCATTTACATTCGTAAGGCGCATTTAATCCGTAGATCCTCATGCACGCCATGTATGGGAAGCAGGAAACGAACAGAACCTGCAGGGTAAACGGCCAGAACTTGCGGGGGGTAAATGTTAATTTAAGGAGGTGAGTTTTCAGGACAGACTTAAACAGCTCTAACGACACATTGTCTCATTGCCAAAGGCAAAAATCGTTCTTCTATAGTCCGGGAGCTGCACTGCCAAGAACAGAGCCTTGACCTCAGAGTCCTTAGAAGAAGGCCATCCGAAGATCTCAGGAACCTCGTTGGAGAGTGAACAAGGATCAGTTGTTGTGAATATTGCGCGGCTAACCCATCGAGTGCCTCGTAGGTCAGCAGCACGGCCGTATAATCCACTCGACGCTTGATTGGCAGCCAGTGCAAGAGACACGAGAGCGCGTAACGACTCCAGTAGCCGCATCCTGAAGGAGCCGGAGTCTAACCCAGCGTGGCGCTTGTGTGGTGTGGGGTTAGCCACGCTTTACCTCGCGGAGCACCGTCAGCCAATTGCCTTTGCTGGAGTGGGTGGATGAAGGTGACGTCTCGAACGAAGTAGTTTGGGGCCGTCCATAAATGACTTCACGCGATTTTGGACGATTTTTTTACCCCCCCTTCGTCACACGGCGTCACAAAAAATCAGACCCCCCTCAAATATGACGTCACAAAGCTCCCCCCCACCAAAATAAAACATGCTTCAAATCGCTTTAAACTATTGTAATTGTAGTGCGTATTTATGTGGAGCTGCACTCTGATGTTGTAGGAGAAAACATTTATTTAAAAAGTCCATTTAATAAAGTAGAACGTATTCTTAGTTTTTTCGGTAAAGTCACGTTGAAGAGAAACAACAAAATAATAAAATATATATATAAAACAATAAAAAAATTCTCACGACGTTTCGACCATAACTCAAACGGTCGTCTTCAGGTGTGTTGGTTCGCATAAATTTATTTTTAAACGACGCATTTATTTATTTATAAAAAAACCGTTAGCGCCACGCGCAACGATTTGGCAGTTTACCCAGGACTAGTCCATCTATATTCTGAAAAGAGGAGGGGGGAGACGAAATTTTTTATAATGTATGCTGTCTGAAAGCTACTGTAAGCGTGAACAGACAGCATACATTATAAAAAATTTCGTCTCCCCCCTCCTCTTTTCAGAATATAGATGGACTAGTCCTGGGTAAACTGCCAAATCGTTGCGCGTGGCGCTAACGTTTTTTTTTTATAAATAAATGCGCCGTTTATAAATAAATTTATGCGAACCAACACACCTGAAGACGACCGTTTGAGTTATGGTCGAAACGTCGTGAGAATTTTTTATTGATTTATATATATTTTATTATTTTGATGTTTCTCTTCAACGTGACTTTACCGAAAAAACTAAGAATATGAATTACTGCAGTCACGAAAGCTTTAAATCAAAATTTAAAGTAGAACGTGTTGTCTATATTCATATAAAGTTGCGCATTTTGATTACATTGCGCCTTACATTGCGTTTATTCGATCGTAAACATTCGAATGCGTTTAGAACACTTACATACCTCCTCGCTCTGTTGCGCAATACTCCTTCAGGGCCCTGCTGCACTCTCCTCCTCTGTGCTCACGCGGCACGGATATTCCCTTTTGTAAAGTAGCCGCGACGCTGGTTAAACGGACCATCCGTGTCACGACAAAATAAATTTAAACTTAACCAGGAGCGTGCCACTGTTCACTCCAACCCGAGTGAGCAGTCGTTCTTCTTCTTCTTAACATGGGGTGGACGCTGCACCCCCTGGGGGTTCGAGATGCTCTTTCTAGGGGTGCGAGATCTGGCCAGATGTTTTTATTTAGAAAGTAAATACATAATCGAAACACAAATTGAGAACGGGCACGTGAGTACAACTACTTTGTTTCATGTATTTTTAAACACATTTTTAAGCGATTGAAAACCAAAGTTGTCCAAGGCTGCAGTAAATGTCACGGACCACTGCTATTGAGACTACACATCCCCTTTGCGACGTGGATCGCAGTTCGTTTACGCAGAGGACAACGTCGCGTATCCAACCGTCAGACGTTCGACCCCATCAACCAATTAATGGCCCGCACCCAGCGCAGTATTTGTGCGCGCGGTGTCCACCGTCATTCGGTGTCCACCGTCATTCGGTGTCCACCGTCATTCGGTGTCCACCGTCATTCGGTGTCCACCGTCATTCGGTGTCCACCGTCATTCGGTGTCCACCGTCATTCGGTGTCCACCGTCATTCGGTGTCCACCGTCATTCGGTGTCCACCGTCATTCGGTGTCCACCGTCATTCGGTGTCCACCGTCATTCGGTGTCCACCGTCATTCGGTGTCCACCGTCATTCGGTGTCCACCGCCATTCGGTGTCCACCGTCATTCGGTGGAGATCTTCCCGTGTCCGAGGCTTCTCACTCATTCGACTGCGAGCACTGTACACAAGTTCCCCAGTGAATCGGATATGTGATGTACAGGGTTGTCCAGATGTCTTGTGACCACCCCCCCTCCCCTCAATTTAATTCTCTAAAGCGTCATATATTTTGGAAGTAAGGTTTATTTAAAACAGAAATGAATATGCAAATGGGAAAAATATATGTTAGGGGCCAATTAATTTGGGGCCACGAGACACCTGGACCACTGTATATTAAATGCACGATAGAATACTAGATGCAGAATATAATGCAGTGTAATGCAAAGAATGCCGTTATCAGATGCGGATATGAACACTTCCCAATGGGTGGGGGTAATCAGCACCATCGCCCCTGGCAACTGGAGTGCAGGTTTGATGTGGATTGGAATGTACGGTACACTCGTATTAGCGCAGGTGGAATCCAGGTCAGGTTTTTATGAATGCAAAGGCTTTACTTGGACCAGATCTGGCCCAGTGTTATATTATTTCAGGCATTGCCTGGTCTGAACTTTATGAATCCGGTGTGGTCCATGGATTATTGTAACTAAAAAATAAATATATCAGCCGGATATGTGAAGCCCAGGTGTAGTCTGAAGCAGGTTTCAAGATTCTGGATCCAGTCCAGGCTGGGATTTATATGTGCAGCTGTGATTCCAGCGGGATTTGATGTACCCAGTTTGGATATCATGTATCCAGACCAGATTGTATGGGTCAACGTTATTTCCAGAGCTCAGTCACAGTAATAATACTACTATCATCTATTAATCGGGGGAGCCTCAGCGAATCGTAAGTTACCTCTTCAAGAGGATTCTGCTTTAAGATGTTGGGCCGGGTATCAAAGCTTAGAAAGACGCCAGGGGGTTGGTAGAGTGAATTAAAACAGTTTATGGCAACATGCGGTTCAGACAGGTTTCAGTTGCACAGTAATCCGTAATGTGTGGGTTGTGCTGGTGTGAACCCCCTTTCATGTCCTCTGTGGTGTGTGCTTGCTATATCGTTGCGTAAATTAAAAAAAAATGTTGGTTCGATTTAATGTTAAGGAATGTGTTTGCGAGTATCGGTGTATAGCAGTGGGGGTATAGTTGGTGTTGCATCTACCCGGTCATCTCAGCCAGCCAACCCATGGCAACCGGGTCTGCCCCGAGACCTCCCGTCAGCGAGCCTTCGACACCCTACGTGATAACCTCAAAGTGCACCTAGCCTGGCACAGGCGCCGCGATGGCGTCACCGTCACGAAGTGGTATGGATATTGGATTCCGATGCCCAGGTGTGGTCGTGGCCTGCTATATACGTTAACACGTTCAGAATCTACACAACTCACAGCAGCTGAGTTTCATAAACCTCGGCACGCGTCTCGTCGCGGGCCCGGAACAGCGCGAGTCGAAACGCAGTCGAATGACTCCCTATTGCAGTACAAAAACTGGAGGAAGGGCCTTTGCTATTGATGCCCCCAGGGTCTGGAATGCTATTGCCAATAAACTGCAACTTGAATCGCTACCAATTAGATCTTCTCTCAAAACTGCTCTAGAGGAGTTGTACACCCCTAGCTGCCACTGCTATTCAGTGGCGTAAAGTAAAATGTTTCGCTCCGGATGACCGCTGCAAAGTATTATTTGTATTTTGATTTAGCGTGCTGATCTTAAAGGTGCATTGAAAAATGTGATACTTCGACCGATGCTTCTGTTGTTGTGGAGTAACTCATGCAGCCAGCTATGGCTCTAGGATTTGGTGTTACATGTTATTTATGTAGTTTATTGTAAAAAAAATTGGTCACAGTCCTTGTGATCACTGTTACGTTGCAATTATGGCTTTATTTTTTGGTGATTTGGAAAACGTTTTTTGGTTTGGACATGTTTGTTTTGTTGTAGTACGGAGTTAGACTGTGGCCTTAATCTAAGTTTTTGTGGTTGTTGTTGACTTGCATCCCACTGGGATTTTTTGCACACAGCGTTGGTGTACGGTGCTTTTTTTCAGGAATATTTTTGTAGTTTTTTTTTTCCATGGATTTTCTGTTTGCACAGTCACATAGTCACTTTAATGTTTTTCTTGTTCGTGGTTTTGTTTTTTTCATTGTTTGTTGTGGTTGCACTCGATTCAAGAGCCGAATGGCTCGCAGGGCTATACCAAAATAAACTGAAAAAACTGATTCGGGGTCGTGCGAGTCCAGTTGGAGTCCAGTCCGAGAAATGTAAATGAGTTGCCGCTTCGCTCCAGTCCGGGATTTGTCGAGAATCCGTCCCGTGTTTAATGAGCGGCCCCGGGGGTGGGAGCGCGACGCGGAGGGCGTGGAGGAGGAGGAGGCGGTGGCTCAGGCAGAGGAGCAGCAGCGGCAGCAGCACGGGAAGCAGATAGAGAAGCAGCAGCAGGAGGAGAAGCAGGAGGAGAAGCAGCAGCGGGAGTGAGACCGGGGGGACGAGGCTCTGCGATGGCCGCTCGGTGAGCAACACAGCCTCGCTTTGTGTTCACACACCACCATCACCAGGAACACCACCATCATCAGGAACACCACCATCATCAGGAACATCACCATCACCAGGAACACCACCATCATCAGGAACATCACCATCATCTTGAACATCACCAGGAACACCACCATCACCAGGAACACCACCATCACCAGGACCATCACCAGTGGTGTGAGTGCGTTCGCGAGGTGGGGCCTCTGGTTACACACCACGTCGTCTTTCATTGTTACACACGTACGGTATATCTCGTGGTAACTGTGGTGATGTGGTAACTGTGGTAGTGTATCATCAGTGGTAACTGTGTGTGATGTATCAGTGGTAACTGTGGTAGTGTATCATCAGTGGTAACTGTGATGTATCATCAGTGGTAACTGTGATGTATCATCAGTGGTAACTGTGTAATGTATCATCAGTGGTAACTGTGTAATGTATCATCAGTGGTAACTGGTGATGTATCATCAGTGGTAACTGTGGTGATGTATCATCAGTGGTAACTGGTGATGTATCATCAGTGGTAACTGTGGTGATGTATCATCAGTGGTAACTGGTGGTGTATCATCAGTGGTAACTGGTGATGTATCATCAGTGGTAACTGTGGTGATGTATCATCAGTGGTAACTGGTGATGTATCATCAGTGGTAACTGGTGATGTATCATCAGTGGTAACTGTGTGTGATGTATCATCAGTGGTAACTGTGTGATGTATCGTCAGTGGTAACTGTGGTGATGTATCATCAGTGGTAACTGTGGTGATGTATCGTCAGTGGTAACTGTGGTGATGTATCATCAGTGGTAACTGTGGTGATGTATCATCAGTGGTAACTGTGGTGATGTATCATCAGTGGTAACTGTGGTGATGTATCATCAGTGGTAACTGTGGTGATGTATCATCACTGGTAACTGTGTGATGTATCATCAGTGGTAACTGTGTGTGATGCATCATCAGTGGTAACTGGTGATGCATCATCAGTGGTAACTGGTGATGCATCATCAGTGGTAACTGGTGATGTATCATCAGTGGTAACTGTGTGTGATGTATCAGTGGTAACTGTGGTGATGTATCATCAGTGGTAACTATGTGTGATGTATCATCAGTGGTAACTGGCGATGTATCATCAGTGGTAACTGTGTGTGATGTATCAGTGGTAACTGTGGTGATGTATCATCAGTGGTAACTGTGGTAGTGTATCACCAGTGGTAACTGTGTGTGATGTATCATCAGTGGTAACTGGTGATGTATCATCAGTGGTAACTGGTGATGTATCATCAGTGGTAACTGTGTGTAATGTATCATCAGTGGTAACTCGTGATGTATCATCAGTGGTAACTGTGTGATGTATCTTCAGTGGTAACTGTGGTGATGTATCATCAGTGGTAACTGTGGTAGTGTATCATCAGTGGTAACTGTGTGTGATGTATCATCAGTGGTAACTGATGATGTATCATCAGTGGTAACTGGTGATGTATCATCAGTGGTAACTGTGTGTAATGTATCATCAGTGGTAACTCGTGATGTATCATCAGTGGTAACTGTGTAATGTATCGTCAGTGGTAACTGGTGATGTATCATCATTGGTAACTGTGTGTGATGTATCATCAGTGGTAACTGTGGTAGTGTATCATCAGTGGTAACTGTGGTAGTGTATCATCAGTGGTAACTGGTGATGTATCATCAGTGGTAACTGTGGTAATGTATCGTCAGTGGTAACTGTGTGATGTATCATCAGTGGTAACTGGTAATGTATCAACTGTGGTAATGTATCATCAGTGGTAACTGGTGATGTATCATCAGTGGTAACTGTGGTAATGTATCATCAGTGGTAACTGTGGTGATGTATCATCAGTGGTAACTGTGGTGATGTATCATCAGTGGTAACTGTGGTAATGTATCGTCAGTGGTAACTGTGTGTGATGTATCATCAGTGGTAACTGTGGTAGTGTATCATCAGTGGTAACTGTGTGTGATGCATCATCAGTGGTAACTGTGTGTGATGCATCATCAGTGGTAACTGTGGTAGTGTATCATCAGTGGTAACTGTGGTAGTGTATCATCAGTGGTAACTGTGGTAGTGTATCATCAGTGGTAACTGTGGTAGTGTATCATCAGTGGTAACTGTGGTAGTGTATCATCAGTGGTAACTGGTGATGTATCATCAGTGGTAACTGTGGTAATGTATCGTCAGTGGTAACTGTGTGTGATGTATCATCAGTGGTAACTGGTAATGTATCAACTGTGGTAATGTATCATCAGTGGTAACTGGTGATGTATCATCAGTGGTAACTGTGGTAATGTATCATCAGTGGTAACTGTGGTGATGTATCATCAGTGGTAACTGTGGTAATGTATCGTCAGTGGTAACTGTGTGTGATGTATCATCAGTGGTAACTGTGGTAGTGTATCATCAGTGGTAACTGTGTGTGATGTATCATCAGTGGTAACTGTGTGTGATGCATCATCAGTGGTAACTGTGGTAATGTATCATCAGTGGTAACTGTGTGTGATGTATCAGTGGTAACTGGTGATGTATCATCAGTGGTAACTGTGTGATGTATCATCAGTGGTAATTGGTGATGTATCGTCAGTGGTAACTGTGTAATGTATCATCAGTGGTAACTGGTGATGTATCATCAGTGGTAACTGGTGGTGTATCATCAGTGGTAACTGTGGTGATGTATCATCAGTGGTAACTGTGGTGGTGTATCATCAGTGGTAACTGGTGATGTATCATCAGTGGTAACTGTGTGTGATGCATCATCAGTGGTAACTGTGGTGATGTATCGTCAGTGGTAACTGTGGTGGTGTATCATCAGTGGTAACTGTGGTGATGTATCATCAGTGGTAACTGTGGTGGTGTATCATCAGTGGTAACTAGTGATGTATCATCAGTGGTAACTGTGGTGATGTATCATCAGAGGTAACTGTGGTAATGTATCATCAGTGGTAACTGTGTGATGTATCATCAGTGGTAACTGTGTGATGCATCATCAGTGGTAACTGGTGATGTATCGTCAGTGGTAACTGTGGTGATGTATCATCAGAGGTAACTGTGGTAATGTATCATCAGTGGTAACTGTGGTAATGTATCATCAGTGGTAACTGTGTGATGTATCATCAGTGGTAACTGTGTGATGTATCGTCAGTGGTAACTGGTGATGTATCGTCAGTGGTAACTGTGTGTGACGTATCATCAGTGGTAACTGTGGTAGTGTATCATCAGTGGTAACTGTGGTAGTGTATCATCAGTGGTAACTGTGGTAATGTATCATCAGTGGTAACTGTGGTAATGTATAATCAGTGGTAACTGTGGTAATGTATCATCAGTGGTAACTGTGGTGATGTATCATCAGTGGTAACTGGTGATGTATCGTCAGTGGTAACTGTGGTGATGTATCATCAGTGGTAACTGTGGTGATGTATCATCAGTGGTAACTGTGTGATGTATCGTCAGTGGTAACTGTGTGTGATGTATCAGTGGTAACTGTGTGTGATGTATCATCAGTGGTAACTGTGTGTGATGTATCATCAGTGGTAACTGTGGTGATGTATCATCAGTGGTAACTGTGGTGATGTATCATCAGTGGTAACTGTGGTGATGTATCATCAGTGGTAACTGTGGTGATGTATCAGTGGTAACTGTGGTGACGTCTCGTCAGTGGTAACTGTGGTTACTGGTTCATCACCACGGATGCACTTTCAAAGACGTCCTGTTGTACATTAAGAATGTATCCGGTTAACCTGGTGTTGTATACGGTGGTAACGGTGGTGTGTAACCCAGTCTGTTGTTGTACACACGTGTCCTTGTGGTTGGGACCTGCTGACACACGCTACGTAGTATGTGCTAGACACATGCTACGTAGCATGTCCTACACACATGCTACGTAGTATGTGCTATATACACACACTATGTAGTATGTGCTACATACACACGCTACGTAGTGTGCCCTACACACACGCTACGTAGCTTGCGCTACACACGCGCTACGTAGCTTGCGCTACACACGCGCTACGTAGCGTGCGCTACACACGCGCTACACACACGCTACGTAGCGTGCGCTACACACGCGCTACACACACGCTACGTAGCGTGCGCTACACACGCGCTACACACACGCTACGTAGCGTGCGCTACACACGCGCTACACACACGCTACGTAGCGTGCGCTACACACGCGCTACACACACGCTACGTAGCGTGCGCTACACACACGCTACGTAGTGTGTGCGTGGCTAATTGGGATGCTTTAACACGCGTGTCAATATCATGGTCGCAGTCGTAGTTCCATATATGGAGTATGTGACGGATATTGTATCCTCCTTGTTATTGTAGCTATTGCTGCTACCACCACAGTTTAACATCGCTGTGCATTTCGTGTACACAGTTACTCATACTACTGTGGCACGTGTTGCGTTAACACACATGTACCGTATGATCTCACACACGTGTACCGTACGATCTCACACACGTGTACCGTACGATCTCACACACGTGTACCGTACGATCTCACGTGTACCGTACGATCTCACACACGTGTACCGTATGATCTCATACACGTGTACCGTATGATCTCACGCGTATACTGTATGATCTCACGCGTGTACTGTATGATCTCACACGTATACTGTATGACCTCACACATACTGTATCTCACACGCGTGTACTGTATGATCTCACACACGTGTACCGTATGATCTCACACATGCGAATTGTGGTGCTATCATACAGCTTTCGAACGGTGGCTTTTTGTGTTGTTTACAAATGTGTTGATACGGCCATCGTGTGTGTATTGTCTTGCAGTGTTCACTATTTGTATCATTGTAATGAGGAATCGTGTAAGGACACGTCCGATTGTGTGTTTACAAATGTGTCGTTATCAACACGGATAACTGCGTACAGATGCATCGTTGTGATGATGATATTTGTGTGTGTGTGTGCTTATTACGTTAATCACAATAGAGGGATGATCGGTGCTCACCCATCATGTATCACTCGCACTAATAAAGGTTATATTGTCGGGGAGTTACTTCTGCAATGTATCGGTGGTTTGAGTGTTTATTGTGTGTTACGAGTTTATCACTGTGGCGGTATTTGTGTAATACAGTAGTGGACTTTGAGAGTGTGTGGTAGGTATTCATAAGTATACTCAATGCTAGAGCTGTGCGTGTTAACAATTGTGTTGTTGTTATAAAGGCGATGTTGGTTCTAATCTTTCATTGCACCGGCATTGACAACACTTGCTAACACGATTTTTGTGCCTGGGTACTAATTGTTTATTTTAAATTTGTTATGCTTAAAAAGTATATAAAATGGCTATTATTATATACCCCACAAACTTTGCTTCTGTGACCAGGACTTTACGTGAAGGAATGACACATGCACACCACGTTTTCTCATTGACAATAGGTACATTTCAAAATATCACAAAAGCAAAGTTTGTGGGTAATAATAGCCCATTCTCTGTACTTTTGAGGCATAAGCAATTAAAAAATAACACTACCCAGGAACAACATTTTTGTTCTTGTTGCACAGTGCAATTTACTACACTCTGCTGCAGGGCTGTTTTTGTACTATTTTATTCATGGCGGTGGCCTGTGTGTTTACAAATGTGTTCTCACATTGCAGGAAACGAGGCACGTTACACATGCGTTCTAATTGCAGAAATACAAAGATACGGAATACGCGATAACTGAAGTTGTTTTTTATGGACTTTTATAAACCTAGCTATCAAGAGGAAAGCTTTACTCCGTATATGTTTTCAGTGCAGTGGAAACCTCGTTATTCCAAACAGATGTGTTCCATTACATTTGTTATTATTGTATATGTGTTGTAAATACAATAACCGGATCAGTTATTTTCAGGACTGTGATAACCGAACGGTTATCCTAATGGTTTGCAGACAGCGGAATACACCATATTCTCAACAGTTGATGTGGAGTGCGGTTATATAATGAATATTGCCTCTACCACGGCATCAATAGTGAACTGAGGTTATGGAAGCTGTTATTGGACGGCAGTGCTGGCACTTAATGAGCTCCATATGTGCCTTCCTCGATTTTGAAAGTGTCTATTGTGTGTGTACAGGGGGCAGGCAGGGACGTCGCGTACTTCGCAACATCACTGACGGCAGCGCAGTGTGACCCAATGCAGCGCTGATGTAATTGTCTTGGGAAATGCGTCACATCGTTGGAATAAAGTGGCAGCTAAGGCAAGGATTCAAACCGCATCTGCTGTCATTACAAACTTAGCACATCACCCGAGGTTGGTTAAATTTCATCAAGTCATTACGGCGCACAGGAAGGGGGCACAGTTTATTATTCCGCTGCCTGTCAATGAAAACAAACGAGGAATGAAGTAAGGCGAATTCACGGAGAGAGTATCTCGATCACCCGTCTCAAACTCGGACGCACCGGTGACATGAAACCAAATGACTGTACGTGGCAAATTTACTGGTGATGTAGTCACGGCCCAATTTACCACAGGAGCTATTGCCTACCCATCGGCATCGTGAAACATTTCAAGAGATGTATCAACATTATCCTGTTGGCGCGTGCCCTGCTGTTTTGGTTCCTCCGTCGCCTCATTCCACGACGTGTTTTTGGGTGCTCCTTCATCGAGGACGTCTTTGACCGGGTTAGACCGTGGCCCTCATTGCAAGTGTGGCTTGGTTAAACTACCGTACTGGGTATATTGAGTCTTAAGCGCAATTCGCGTCCGTGCTTTAATCCTCAGCCGTGCGAACAACGTCCGAATGTGGCATCGGCTGGGTCCGCTGAGTGCTCTTTTTTTATTGCCGTAATATACAGTGGTAATCACGTGGCGGCAGTCGGATGCGTAGATTGTCACGGCCAGTGGCTTGTGAACTTCACACGCAGGGCACGGGGACGGATGCCATCAACCTTGAACGTCTCTCGGTGGGTCCCAAGTGCACCGCAGGCTGCTCGACGGTTTGGTTGCGATTCTTCATAAGCAAATTGACGGAACCGTCTTGTCGACTGGGAACAATGAGATGGGGGCAAAAGTGGTCGTCGTATTCATCCCAGAATCTCGTTCATCGAGGAGGATGGGGCTGCCTGCATGCTCCAGCGTGAGACTCATCTGGTTTAGAGGTAGGATTTGTGATGGCACCAGTCTTGAGTCTGCTGCTTAAGTTACCCGGCCATCCTTTTACTCTCAAGAGATGCATTCATCTGTTCGTCACCTGCGCGTCTGAACTCGACCGATGGCGTTGCTAAGAATGCCAGGATGACTGTTGCTAATAAAGCTGGTTCAGTCAGGGTTTGGAACTATGGTGTGATTTTTAACTACCTGTCATGTTGTAACAGCTACGAGAAGAGAGGAAAAGGTAATAAGACTACTTCGGGCTTGCATTACAAACTCATTTCGGATGCAGACAGTCGGTTACCTCTGTAAACAAGTAGCTTGAACGAATAAAAACCCCATTTCACTCTTGTGAATAATTGACAGACGTACAGTGCTCGGCATGCCTACCGCTGGAGCGGGGATATTTGTGTAGGCAATGTCATTACAGTGAAATGTCATCGAGCTCTTGGTGATTTAAAAAAAATCATCTATATGGAAATGTTTTTTTTTATGACAACTTCTCATTTTGTTCGGAACCGACTGCAAAACGTGTCCAGTTATTAGTCTAGCTTATCGTAGATTTGGTGAGTGATGGAACTGTTCATGCTGCCTTTTGCAGACCTCTTGGGCCTCGAAGGCCACGTTCTTGAGTTTTTCTTTGTTTTTGGCAACCACATCTGCAAACTGCAGGGCAGCCCTCTGCTATGCGTGCATCATGTTAGTGGGGAGCTTCGGGCTGTTACGTGGCTGCCGTGACCTTGCTGCAACGTGTTGTGTTGGCCATAAGCTGCGAGTGTTTTGATCGCAGACAAGCAAGGACTGTGATTATGGTTTTTACTGACTGGAGGAGCAGCCAACTCACTTCCTGGAGCATATTTCAACTTATTTATTTATTTAAAGCTAGTGACGTGCGGTACGTGTTGCGAATGAAAGTTAATAATTTTGCTCATGTTTATTATCTTGATTTCATATTTTGCAGGGGCTGACTTTCGCGGAGTGAGGGCTGCGACCGGAGCCAGGCGAGCACCAGGCCCTTAACCAAGCCATGTAGAGCGGGCGCCGGCCTACTGACAAGTTCGCTGCGAAGACTTGACTATGCGTGGGACACTGAAGCCATACGTTTAGAGCTGTACAGTAACCGTTAATTTTTAAGCAACATTTTTAATTTATTTATTACATTTTATGCAATTGGAGCGATTAGCCGTCAGACTTTGGAGCTCGCTACGACGTGGCACGGCTCAATCATGTCTTCGGTTTGGAAGCGACTGCAGCGAGTGGGAAAACGCGCGTCCAAGTTTCAGTTTGTGGCCTCCTACCAAGAGCTGATGGTGGAGTGTACCAAGAAATGGTGAGTACAAGTACTTTATTCAATAATAATTTTAAGCAATTTCTCAATCTCTCTTGCTGGGCGAAGGCTTCTTCCCCGTGCCATGTGTCGGCCATGGGGTTCGTTTGTTTGCGTACTTCACACCGCAGAGGTCGGTGAGAGTTGGCGAAAGGGGAGGAATGCATCCTGCGCTGGTGCAGATGTCATTCTTCGCTGATGTTAGCATTGGTTGTAAATCGAACTCGGGTCACTGGGGTCAGAGCATCTTGTGCAAACCACTGGCTCCATTGCTCAACCGACCAAGTACTTGATCAACAGATACAATTTCTAACTTGTGTTTCATCATCCTTACGAATATTATATTGGTGGTTGTTGTAAGCGATAGCACTACGTTTAGAATGGCCCATTTCCCATTGATGAGCCAATTTATATCCAGGTAAAAGGTTATGCACCAGAGTTTGTAACTTAACGATCGTGCAGTGACATTATACTGCCTCTGAATATCAGTAGGGCAATTATGATTCACCCTCGCCTAGCTTTAATTGCTAATAGGCGTACCTGTGACACACAGTGCATGCTAACATAATTTAGCCACAGTAATTGGAATATTGACTGCTTGTTACGATGCAGAAAGTGTAACCCCTTTTATTGATGGGATGCCAATTTGGGAGGGGGGGGGGGGTCCCCATTGCTTAGCCCCCGGGCCCTCTCCGTGGCCACGCTTCGTCACGGGGCACACGAGCCACGAGAAGAACATCGTTGGTGGTTGAATGTTCTCATTGTTGTTGTCGTCGCTGCCCCGTTTATTTATTTATATAAAACCCACGCTCTGAACGGTCAAGGGAAGAACCGTGGAATGTTGGAGCGTATGACCGTGGAACACATGCCCCTCGGTCTCCTGACTCCATTCCTGCTCACATGACCATTACCCTGTGCACGGAGCACGCCGCGTCTCGATGCGTTAAGCATCGCTGTGCTGTCGCTCGGAGTGCTGGATTTAGGGACATTAAGGGGTCGTGTCGATGAATTTTTAAATAGAATTGCGCCGTGCATTGAGACTGCGCAACAACTTAAGACCTTGGCATGCGTACATATATTGGTTATGCTCGGGCAAATCAATCCGCAGAAGCTCTTTTTGATTTGGTAGTCTTGTATTTTGTGAAACGTGTTGGGCAGTTGAATATTGGATAGTACAGTGCTTGCTAAAAAAAAGTAAATAAAATGTAAACGGTGAAATTCTACCGAATGTAATTGCGCAGAGAGACAGAAGCAGATGGCGAGTGAGGTGGAGAGAGACGGGCAGCCCGAGATGCAAAGAAAGAGAGAGGGAGACGCACAGGGAGACACAGACGATGAAAGATAGAGGGAGAGACAGACAGAGGGAGATAATTCAGAGACAAGGAGGTGGATGGACAGATTTGTCGGTTTATTGAAGAAGAAAATAAAATATTGAAATATACTATATATACTATTCTGTTTCAAATTCGGATATTCAGAATACATAGATTCGATATTAAACCAAAATATCAAAAGTTTTTTTACGTACTCATGTTTTTATACATACAAAAAAAACTGATTGGATGTACTCATAGTTCAAAAATAAGTGTACAGTGTGTTCCATTTTATTGGCATGACACATTTTGACATTACTGCAATATTGATGCGAGCCGCTGGGTACACTCTGCTTGCACGTGTGTGCCACCTACGCGCTGCAGGAATTGAGCTAAGGGTGACCTTAACGCTACACACATACTCCGCAGTTATATATATAACATGTGACGCAGATGCCAGCAATGATATTCAGGGAAGACTCTCACTGTCTCTTGCGCTGTCACTGGTGTGAGCCGTCTGGCAGGAGAGAGCGAGAGAAAAAAAAGACGTCTGGCAGAGAGGAAAAAAACCACTTGCGCGCAGACTTGGCGAGCGTGCGCGTACCCAGCCTGGCTAATTTGCATGTTAACGGTGTCCCTGCGTCCCGCCCATCTCGTTCCCGAAGATTAGGCACCGCGCACTGAATTTTATTGCTCAGGCTTATGGTAAATTAAAGCTCTCGTGCCACCGGCTTTCACGACGAAAGCCGTGCGTGTTTTTAATTTGTGACTTGTTTAGCGCCTCGATCACTTTCCTCTTCGGTGCGGGTTTTCCGTCGAACACGTCCTTCGGATGGTATTCTTTTTCTCGGCTGGTCACGAGCCGCTTGGTGTCGGTTTCAATGGGGAATTCTGAAGCTCTCGCAGATATCGCATTTTGGGATTCACCCAGGATGCCAAACCCCAGCCAATGGCCTGCGCCGTTTGCTGGGGGTGGGATCGCTCCGCCGTGACGACTCGCGCGCAGCAGACAATTGGGATTATAAACGCACTGTAATGCTGGGGGCATTAACACCGGAGGAGCGATAATGCCATATTTAAACGTGATTACGAATCCAGATGCTTATGAGTCACTGTTGTCATCCGTATGTTAATTAAATGCTTTGTGGTAATTTTTGCATCGCGGAATCCTCCATGCACCCACACACTTGCACTGTTACCGTTCGCAGGAATATGAGATGGGGTTTTTGCCTTTTTTCCCATTGGTAAAATCACGTGACTCACAGTTTAAATCCTATTTGATGATCAACTCGCCCCTTAATGCCTTCTTGGTCACTACAATTAGTACCACTCTGTAGGAAGGCAGCAGTAATTGGCCTATGGATAAACTGACCCCTGTTCGAGAAATGCAGAATATCCACCATTGGCTAAGGGCTATAAACAGGAGATACCCCATGCTCATTTCTGTGCGAACTCAATTTGAATTCCTACGATGTTTGGTCATCTACATAAACATTTAAATTGTATCAAGTACTGTAATCTTATTTAAGGCCCATATATATTTACTCACATGTTTGGTCCTTTGACATTTAAACATACTACACAGTAAACTTAAAACGTAGGTTATTGCAGCCAACATGTCGATACTCTTTGGTTCTATTCGGTAAAGTGACTTTACCGAATAGAACCAAAGAGTATGGATCCTTGCAGTCACGAAAGCTTCAAATCTAGAATCAACATGTCGATGTTGAATTCGGTGATGAAAACTCTGATGCCCCCGGTGAAGGAGCATTACCGGTCAGAATTTGATCAATACATGGAAACGTGTATAACTAATACCTCTAAACGTGACAATCTCATCGCCCAGGTGGTGGTGGGGGGGGTGGGTTAATGACAAGAAATGTCGGTGTGAAACTACCACCACGCGGCCTAACCCGACAACAAATATGGATCACTCCAAAATATTTTGAATGAATAGCGTCAGTTTGAAGCCAACTGCTTCATCATTGATCACAAGCCACCGATCTCCGTTGCAATCGTCGAACCTGGTAAGGTATATGTGAGAAGAGACTGCCAGCATGTAACCTAGCCAGTGTGTGCTAAATGCTGCTGCTGCAAATTGTATAGGGTAACATTTTACGTTCACATTTGCTTGAGCGCCAACAAATCCAGATTCCCTACAAAATTGCGCAGGATGAATGTTGTTCTTGACTCCATGTGGCCATATATGGGTGCGTACGTGTACTGTACCACACCAAAATCTTGGCTGCATTCGGAAAATACTGGCCACGTTAAAAAAAATTACAGCCGTAAATGTCACGTTGTTACAAACATTACTGTAATTCGCTGGACTAGTAATTTCTGAAAATCTTGGCAACTTTTTTTTTATTCATCTCAAACGTAACGACAGTACACGTTGCATGCTGTGTATGCGGTACTTGGCTGTATTGTGTTTGTTTCTTTGTGAATGGCCTATAAGAGTGAGCTGCATGGTCCTGCAGTGCAACAAGAAAAAGTCCATAATCGGGAAAGGCTTGTGCTTGGGCCATGAAGCAGACTGCCCACAATGCACTGCTTTTTCAAGGGATCGATGTGTATTTGTAGAATCATTACACCCTGCTAGTGCGTACAAACACTTAGTATGTGAATTTAATGCCCAACAAGTTTATCTCGGCCAAACGATTTGTTTGTCCGTGAGCATTGTTGGAAAATACTCTGAGATGGGGTTTATTAATAAAGGGGCACGTGATGAATGGCAACCTGCAAATCGGATTCCTTTCACTCGGAGCTTGCTCTTGAACACGACCAAGCGGTCTGACAGTGGACATACCTTCCTCCCCACACGTGTGCACATCGTGTTTTGTAAAATGTGTCCTGCTCATTACAAAGTGTGTTGGTTACCAGCAATCCAAACGTCACGGGCAATAGGGTCCATTTATTTTTTGTGTGGTCCTGGTCCAAGTTAGTTGACGTCCAACACGTGATGTTAAACGGGTAAAACTGGGACCAAGATAAAAAATGCTGTAAACAGGGTGTCCTCTCTTGCTCAAAATCCTTGAACGCGTTTTTCAGGCTCCCCTTATCTTATACCTTTTTGAGAATCGTTGCGGGTACAGTAATTCGCACTTTCACCGTTGCGGGTTAGCGTTGCTTGTTGGATTTTAAGGTTCTGGAACCCTGAAGTATTTGCGGGCAGGAAATGTAAAAGCCGAGTGATCACACTTGGATGGACATCTAATGTAAAAAAAAATAATGGCTTTTAGAGTTACCATCGAAATGAATGGAATTTGACTGTGACTTGAAAGCTGATCTCACAACCTTAAACATCTGCGCCTGCTTTTTGCCTGCAAATATGCATTGGCAAGGTTACTGTAGACGTTGATGGTTTCCATACGAGAGAGAGAATAAGAGGCGGGGTTGGAATGAAATGCATTGAAGTCGAGTTTCTGCTGCCAATTCTTATGCCCTTTTGTGTGTAACATGCGATTGTTGAGCATCAGCATGAGGAAATGAAATGATGCTTACAGCCGTAGAGCATGACTTGGTCATCATTGCCTTCTCGGTTACCATAGCCTCCGTTATACAAGCGCAGTGGCAAATACAAGCAGAAGTACACAGGGGCCTGGGTTTCCGTGAGGAAGTTTGTGTCGGAAAGGAGTGTGATTCCAGTTAGCGAACTTTCTATGTTTGAACCTCAATTTTGCATAAAGA